CCTCCATTCCTCCCATTCCGATAGCTCCTGCCTGGTTTGCTCAAGGGCTCGTTCATAGAGAATGTTTCCCGGGTTATTCATGGGATTTTTCTCTGCTATCCTTAGAGTTTGTTGACGCTCTTCCTCCCTTTGTTTTCTTTTTGAGGCTAAGATTCGGGATGCTTTTGACGTAGATTCTGATAGGGCTGAAACCAGATCTGAAAAGTCTTGATTGGTATTGTCGATGCCTGCTGAAAGGACCGCTTCCCGTAGTTCGGGTGTATTCAGGAGGGAGTTATTGATTTTAAAAAAGTTGCGTCCTCTATTTGGGGTAGTTCCTAATTTGAGAGGTAATAGGATTGGTTTGTGATCTAGTCCTGAATAGTGGGGCAGTCTGCCTATTTCTACGCTGGAGATAGTTTCTATGAGAGATTCCAACAATAAGAAATAGTCAATCCTTGAGGCCGATATGTGTTGACTTTTGTTCCTTTTCAAGTAGGTGAATTCTTTGTGTTCTGGGTATTTGACTCTGAATGGGTCTATAAGGCTCTTTTCTAACATCAGATCGTGGATGGGGAGAGCTTCGTTCCAGGTTGCTTGGTCCAATCCTGTTCTGCCTCCCAAGAAACGGTCTAGTGACGGGTCAAGAGTAGCATTCCAATCCCCTGCTAGGATGAGTTGCCTACCGGGCGGACATCTTGGGAGAAGGCTTTCGATTAGTCTGGTCCTTTGGTTTGGTGTGTTCGGGCAGTATACTGACGTAAGTCTGAATTGGTCCTCGCCCATTTGGAAGTCCAAGTTGGCCCATCGTCCTTCCTCTATGCCCTTGTGTAAGTTGATCCTAGAGATTCTGTTCGCTGATCTGGATTTAGCATGAACTAAGATGGCAACGCCTGCGGAGTTAGTGCGAGGAGTTGTTGCCCAAATTACCTCCGTCACGCATCTTAGTTTCCTTACGGTCTATGCTTGTGTTCGTTGATGTTCCTCAGATTCTGTTAGATGCGTTTCCTGGATGCACAGGAGATCTGGTGGGTTCTTCCCGAACCAATCTGTGTCCTTGATTAAATTATTCCATCTCTTTAGGTTGGATAGCAAGGTGGACATGCCATTAACGTTCCAAGAGATTATTTTGAGATCCGGGTCGGGTTGGCGGAGTCCGAATTTCCTATGGAGCGGGGGACCTTGTCTTTCACTTCCATGATCCCCCATCGTTATATGTCAGTTTGTGCCCCTGTGAGCTAGGGGTTAGTGTTTATCAAGGAGTCGGATGGCGCCAGATCTCTCCCGGTTGCAGCTGACCCCTGCAATTTCAGCTTCAGCGGCTTGGGGGACGTGTCAAATAGCCCGTATGCCGTGACCAGGGAACTGCTCAAGGCCGCTCTTTCTACTGCTATTGCTCCTCCCAACAAACCGTAGGGCATGGATTCCACGGCTTGCCACGGAACCCAGACCAGGTCTCCTTTCAGTGTTGCTGATTCGTCCAACTCTATTAGCAGCGATCGAAGGTCTGCTACCTGTAGTTCGTTCTCGTCGTCTTTCCATTCCTCCCATCCTTCTTTCTTGGTACCGTAATGTGACCCATCACTGGTGTACTATCTGAGATGCACTCCCGCAATGTGTCCTGTGTGCAATCTTGGTCCGATGCCGAAATCATCGAGTTGGTTATGTGGTAGGCTAACTCCCATGTCCCTAGAGCCCTGTTCCAACGAAATGGGATTACGGTTCGCTTCTTGGGGCTGTTGCATGCGTCCAATCTGGCTGCTGCATCTATCTCCTTGTGGATGCCTGCTGCTATGTCCCTGAGGGTCAGACAATTCTCGTTCAGTTCCCTGTTCTGATCTCTAAGGACGTTTACTTGGGCCTCCAAAATTGCAGCTTGACGTCTGAGCTCTTCCACTGTCTCTTTCTCTGGTGACGTGGATTCTGAACTCTCTTCCCCTTCTTCGGTGGGCTTGTGGACAGCTTCCCCTTTCTGTTTCTTAGCTTTTCTTTCTATTCTTAATTCTGCATAGCTTTTTGGCCAGCTGATTCGTTGTTGATAGCTCCTTGTGTCAACCCTGATTCTGTTCTTTTCTACCCTTGTTTTCATGCAATATTGGGCAGGGTAAAATTCATTCAATTCTCCTTTTTTCCTGAGTATTTCGAATTTGTTTTCCATGCTAATGCCCTCCTCAACTCTGGTTGTTGCTCTCAGATTGCGCAGGTGTTTGTGATGTGCCAGCCTTACTTCCAGTTCTATCGTTCTTTCCAGTTCCAAGGATCTAACGTAGTGCTGCACGTAGTCCAGTGAGTCGGTGTCTTGTTCCTGGTCCTCATCCTCGTCCCCCATATCTTCTTCTTCCCCTTCTGACCCTTCGTCCCAATCTTCTTCTCCTGAATCCTTCACATCTGAGCCTTCATCTGAGATTTGTGTGTTAGCGAAGGATTTGTTGGAACTTAACCCTGACCTGGTTCTCTTCCTGCTTTTTCCGGTGTCTACGTTCCGGCTGTCTATTTCCCTGCTGTCGAGGTCTGCTGCTTGGGACAATGATTTCCTGTAGTCCATTTCTTCCCCTTGTTCTGTGTGGTGAGAGTGGTCCTCCTCCATTCTGGTGGGACTGTTCTCACTTCTGTTCTCACTTGTTGTGTGATCAGTCCCTTTCTACATGTCGCTGCTCTGTTCGCTGTGCTTACTGTCCTCTACTTCCATGTCAATTGACAGAGCATTGGCCAGGCCTACTGTTGTCCTCCTCTCTTTAATCGATGCTGACGTGGTCGAAACACTGTCGGTTTCTTTTGATTTTCGTTTGAGTGACCTGTCAATTTGAAGGCTATCGTGGTTTTTCTGGCTGGAAGAGGTGAACTTTGGCGTTGAGCAGGCAGAATCTTGTTCTCTCTCCGTGGTTGTTTTGGCTCTTGCGTTCTCAAGGTAGGCCCTTTCTGCGTTTTGGCCAATCACGTGAAGGTCATTCATTGTTTCTAGTCTTTGCTTCTCGTCCAGTAGGTTAGTCTCACCGATTACTTGTTTCACTAGGTAGCCCGTGGATTTGTCTTCCATTCTCTTTGCTCCCACCGTTTTCCATCTGCTGTCATAGGGAGGGTAGATGTCAGGCTTAAGCAAAGGTTCCCCTTGCAGCACCCAGATCCATTTTGGTAGCTCCAAGTTATCGTCAAAGATCCATCCCTTGTACAGAGCGCCATTGATGTACCACACCCCCGGTTTTTCGTCACACTCCACCAGCATCGATTGCTTGAGTGTGACTTTGTTCCCCGTGACCCCAACGAGGGGGCAATGCATTCCCAGATGCCCCTTGTTTCTGCATTTGAAACAATAGGGGTTGGTTTTCGTGGAGATGAACACGTTCAGACGCTGTCCGTTTTTCCTGAAAAAAACAGACATCTGGAAATTTAGGTGGTGTGCCTGATGAGACTTCCAAGCAAGCCACCCTGGCAGCGTGATTTGGGGCCATAGAATCTGAGTTAGCCGGCAACCAATCTATTATTGGGTTGTTGGAGTATTCATACTGCAATCTTTTTTGCACAAAGCTATGCAGGCCCTTGGATTGGTTGTCAAATTAAACCCAAAAGTGGTTCTTGAGCATCGTCTGATGATGTCGGGACGCCTCTGCTTGCGGTTCTCTGGGTGGTTTCCAAGGTTGGATTATGACCACCGATCCCTTGCACTTCAAGGAACCCAATGAGACCACGAATTGGGCATAGGTCGGATCCACTCATAAAACCATGACAGTAAATTTACCCCGTTCAGACACTATCCGTTTTTCCTGAAAAAACAGACATCTGGAAATTTAGGTGGTGTGCCTGATGAGACTTCCCAGCAAGCCACCCTGGCGTCGTGATTTGGGGCCATAAAATCTGGGTTAGCCGGCAACCAGTCTATTATTGGGTTGTTGGGGTATTCATCCTGCAATCTTTTTTGCACAAAGCTATGCAGGCCCTCAGATAGGTTGTCGAATTGAACCCAAAAGTGGTTCTTTAGCATCGTCTGACGATGTCTGGACGCCTTTGCTTGCGGTTCTCTGGGTGGTTTCCAAGATTGGATTGTGACCACCGATCCCTTGCACTTCAAGGAACCCAATGAGACCAGGAATTGGGCATAGGTCGGATCCACGCATAAAACCATGACAGTAAATTTACCCCGTTCAGACGCTGTCCGTTTTTCCTGAAAAACCAAACATCTGGAAATTTAGGTGGTGTGTCTGATGAGACTTCCAAGCAAGCCACCCTGGCGTCGTGATTTGGGGCCATAAAATCTGGGTTAGCCGGCAACCAATCTATTATTGGTTGTTGGGGTATTCATCCTGCATTTTTTTTTGCACAAAGCTATGCAGGTCCTCGGATAGGTTGTCGAATTCAACCCAAAAGTGGTTCTTGAGCATCGTTTGACGATGTCTGGACGCTTCTGCTTGCGGTGTCGAGCGCATCGGTCCGGCACCGCACCAAGCAGAGTGGGACCCTCCCGACCGCGTCACGCAGAAGTTGGTTTGTTCCTCGTCGCGAATACATAATGGAGCTTCCGCAAGCCGCTCCAGCCGAGTGCGCCAGCCATACCTCTTGCGAGCCCCTACGACAAGATAGGGCCTACGCGAGGCACGACTTACCTCTACCTTACGGGAGCTGTCACCTCCCTTCGGTGGGCGTATCCCCGCCGAGCTACCAGTCCACAGTACGAAAGCTGATCAGTTGCAATCGCAGATGTGGACCAGCCGAGGGCGTTTCTCGTTCGTTGTAGCATAGGGGGTACGCTCGGTATTACGCCTCTATCGAACCCGCACGCGGGGGGCTGAGGTCCCAAGCGCGACTCGTCGCCGGTCGACTAGGACGTATCCCACACGCCACGCGCACACCACTATAAGGAACATAAAAATACAAGCACACACACACACACATACATATACATATACAGAACGGCGTTGAACAAACAACGCGACAACACTCCTAGTCCCTTAGTAGCCATCCCATAACTTTCCGATTCGGAAATCGGATAGGCGTCGCGCGCGAGACTTAGTATAAAACCGTGCGGACGCAGGGCTAACTCATATCGACTTGCAATGCAAGCATACTCAACCAGTCGCAATGATGGCGTACTATGTAGTACCCATACTCATGCGGTCCTCACTAATCTCGAGGGTCGCATTTCGACACTCAAGTGTCAGCTGACACGCGCCTTGAGGTATTGATTTCTCGACGCTGGACAACCGCCAAGTGAGGTTGAGAACCACACCCTCTTCTGCACCCTGCGAAGAGTGGGTGGTACACAGGTTCATACCTGTGGTGACGATCGTCTATTATGGCCCTGGCGAGAAATTAAGGGGTTTGACTTTGACGACTGTCACGGACTACAACGTCCAACCATAGAAATTCTAAAGAGCAAAGGCTAAAAGGAAAAGTTTCATTTCCCTCGAAAACATAATCTGTTTAACCCTTACGCTCGGTCATTGTAGGCCGCACGAAACACCCAAGGCATATATATTCATGTATATACATACAGAGAGAGAGGGTTATTAATATAGGACGATCACTTCTCACAGTCAGAGTGGGACTCCTCTCAACCATATATTTATGTATGTGACCGCAGACAGTCAAATCCAAGGTCCGAATCACCAAACATACCTGCAATCACATCAAAGATTCAACCAAAAAGTCTATGCACTACACGGGGTCAACTTCAACCGTTCCATGCACTCATACCCCTTGTTTTAGCCATGCAAGCCTCACTCTTGTGCAACTCCTCAAAATAAAATACTCAGTACTTTTCTTTAAATGACCATTCAAATAAAGTCCGGGCGAAAACACAACAAAACAGTTCAAATCATAAGGCTAAATTGAGTGACATGGAGTTGAATCGTAAACCGACGAATCGGCAACCGACCTGTTATCAGTGATAACAAAAGATGATTATTGTAGTATCAAGCTGAATCCTGAATCAATCGATCAAGAAGACCTGTAACACAAGACAGACCAACCCCCAAGCTAAAATCATAAGTGTATGGAGAATACAACTCCATAACATATTATCACCCAAGATCCTTCTACAAGCTAAGCCTAAGCCTGCCTCTAAGCCAGTGCCTGAAAAAAGGTAGACCCTGACAAAGTCTCCTCTATATAGAGTGGATTGCCAGAATCACCATCTGTCGAAATATAATCTAACTCCTCTGAACTAGGAAAATTTTGGCAGCGCTTCCCGTAGAGAAAGTGCTATTCCAAGATTTATACAAGGCTAAGTTCGAAATATAAGTGACTCTGACTTCTCAAGGTTCAATTTTGTCTAACTTCCTGAATTAGTAAAAATTTGGGCAGCACTCCCTTTAGAAAATGAGGTTTTCCAGATTTTTTCTAAGTCAATAAAGTCAGAACAATTGGACCCTGAAAAAGGCAAAATTTGACTAACTCATTGGTTTTGTAGAAATTTCGGCAGCGCTTCCTCTAGAGAAAGTGGCTTACCAAAATTTATACGAGACTAAGTATAATAAATGATCCTAGAAAAGAAAGTGGCTTACCAAAATTTATACGAGACTAAGTATAATAAATGATCCTAGAAAATGCAGGAATCGACCTAAGTAAAAATGAACTTAGCCCTGAAAATGCAGGAATTGAAACTAACTCCTATGGCTCTAGCACGTGGCGAGCGTCTAAAGCGACTACCTATTAAACTGAAACTCAGACCAAGTAGTAATCTCACTCAGTCACATGCAAGGCCACCCCACGAGGAGTAAGTACTCTCACCATCCCTAAGTCAAAGTCCTCATAGATAGTTCATGAGTCTTTCAGACGCTTTACCCCTCATACCCAACTTACATATGGCGTAGTGCTAGACCATTCAACTTAGAAACAATGTCTAGCATGCCTTAAGATATACACGAACAGGTTGCACTACTACTTTTCTCTTCTTTGGGCATTTGACTAGACCATTCGGCTTGGAAACAATGCCTAGCCGCCCTGAATTGTTTAATATCAAAAGTTTAATAACTTTCTGACTTTGTTCTCAAAAGAAAATGCAAATATGGGCAGGGGCTGAACCATTCGGCTTGAAAACAATGTTCAGCTTGCCCAAGCTACTTCCAATTATACTCTGTAATTTCCCTTCTCTTCTTAGTGATATGGCTTAGCGCTGGACCATTCGGCTTGGAAACAATGCCCAACTGCCAGTTCACATGCAAATATAAGTAAAATACTTTCTTTTATACTCAGTTTATACTTATGTGTGTGGTTTTCAGGTTAAAGCATTCAACTTAGAAACAATGTTCAGCCTTAGACCAAAATCTTCCCTCAGAATAAAACAAGAACGTAAACCCTTCAATTCACGCAAACCCTCAGAAATTAAACACAACAACCAGGCCATTCAACTTAGAAACAATGCCTGACCCTTCAGAAAACAACCAAACAAACATAGCCTAGGGTCATTCAGCATAGAAACAATGTCGAGTCTTTGGTTAACCCAGTCAAACGCATGCAGTCTGCCTTCCTCCCACCTTCCCCCAGTTCATCCCTTAGTCTGCTTTCAGTTAAAATAAAACTAAAACTTATGCTTCACTCTCACACATTCCTTCCATCTAGTCTGATTAGGTCCTGAAAGAAAGCAAAGTCATAGGGGCAATCTCATGCATACATCAATCAAACTAAAAGGAGATAGGCAAACATGGGTATAGAGGGTTTATACAGATAGAAAGGGATATACCTGTCAGTTCCCTGCCTCCACAACCTCGCCTAGGTTCCGGCAGAGCTCCAGCAATCGATGGGTGGACTCCCCACAGAGTCTTGCTGCGGTCCTACGGGTTGCAATCCCGCCAGCTGCCTTCCTCTCAGACCAAGATTAGACTCAGAGTAAGAAGGGCAAAAGATAAGAGGTTTCAAACTCTCGAGATACAAGAGGGAGACTGACTCAACTCCCAGGAGAGGGCCTTGAAATCTTCAGTCGCATTAGGGCCCCACAATGATGGCCAAGGTTCTGAACAGCCTGGTCAACTGCAGCCAAACTGCCGAATAGCCTTTTTTGACGAACCTTCAAGTCGGAGCAGTACCCCTCCTTCTCAACGAGCATGATCTCTTCTTAGATCAAAACGTCGCTGTGCCACCTGGGGTGGCTGCGTCCGAACAACATAGAGCCCCCAAACAAAAATACTTCCCTAGTTGCAGCCCATTGTCGGCAGAAATCGCAGTCCTTCAAGTGCCTGTGCTCCAAATGGCACCGTGCCGCTGTAGGGGGTCAAAGACGCCCCAAATCTGTAGCCTGCTGCCTGAGAAGAACAACAACAACTCGAGCATGGCAAACACAGAAGGCACGGCCTGCGGATGAGCAGCAGGGTAGTGAAGCAGCGAAGCGCAAGGCAACACCAACAACCCGGTCACACCGCACAACAAACTCATCGTCCCGCAAAGAACTACATGCGACGCAAGTGGGACACCGGCAGCAGGGCAGCGGCGGAGCGCAGAAGAGGACGCCCGCATATCCATCACGGAGCGAAGCAGCACGCGACGTACCCAGATCACGATTGAACCCCGTAGATTTTTGGTTCCCACCACCCACTGAGCCAGGGGGTCACTTCGACAAACACCCGTCCTCATCTACAGGTAACACAGACATCCCGAACCAAGCGGCCTCCATAGTTCAACACTCGAACTGTAGCTTCTCAAACCCAACACTTGATTTGTAAGGTACTCATTCTCTCTCCTCCTCAACTTAGTTCCACCCCAACCTACTCACTTTGTTTCCCTTTTGACTCGTTTGCTCCCTTTCGCCCCCATCGGTCATCCTTGGGCCCCCTGTCGTGTCTCGGTAAGAGCCTGCGCCTGGTCGTTCGTGTGACCAGGTTCAGTCGAAATCGTGGGGCGAATACCTCAGCTCGGGAGAACATCACAGCATGCGCTTCGGAGAGAGAGCTCGCGCGGCCAACAGGTAAGTCTCCAACCCCGCGGCTGTCCTCACGCTACTTCCATCAATATGATGGACGGAATCAGAATGAACCTCCCGCCCGAATGCAGGGAGATTCACCGTGCCCTGTACAGAAGCCGCTCGGCATCTACCGTCCACCAGGTAAACTTCTCTCTCTCTCTCTCTCTCTCTCTCTCTCTCTCTCTCTCTCTCTCTCTCTCTCTCTCTCTTTGTGTGTGTGTGTTTGCTCAGCTTATTGTCCACCACCGACCGATCGCTGGTTCTCGTTTCTGATCTTCCCACTCGCCCGCAGCCCCTAACACTTACCCCGTTGAACCCACTATCTTATGGTTAAAACTAACAGTACCATTAGATTCGCAATACTAAAAAACCCCTACTTACAACTTTACTTTGCCTGTTTCTATAAAGAATCGGGCGAGATATTGTGTTTTCCTCCTGCCATATCCGCTTTCTTCGACACCTTCGCGCAACTATTTTTTCTTCTAACTCTCTCTTTACTACTCGAACGCAAAAACTAACACGACCACTAAGCTCGCCAGGGTGAAAAACCCCGACTTAGCACCTTCTCTCGCCCGAATTCATTAAGAATCAGGCGAGATATCACCTTCCCTGTCCGCCATGGCCACTCTCCCCTTCTGCTCCGCCAGCTTCATTGTCAAATGCTGGCGCAATATCGCGCCTGGGTTCATTCGTCCCTCACTGCGTCCATATTCCGCCTCGCCCGCTCGCTCCTCCTAGGCTCCTTTGCGTCCCGCTAGGTGGCCGGCTGCGCGCTAACCCAGACACCACAAGGACGTTGATTGATACAGACAACGGAACGGTGGTCGCAAGAGTCGAAATCCGCTGAAGGAGTGTGTAACAACTCTCCTGCCGAATCCATCAGCCCCGCAGTTCTGCAGAAACTTCGGAGGGAACCAGCTACTAGACGGATCGATTAGTCTTTCGCCCCTATACCATCCTTTGGACGAACGATCCACACGCAGCAGCAGCGCAGCAGCGCAACAGCCTTCCCCCAAACTCCCTCTGGCCCGCTCCGTCTTTCAGGGCCCCAACGGGCATACTCACACCCACGTCTTCCGCAACAGATTGCGGGATCGAGGCGCCGCCCCGTTGCCTTGCTTGAAGCGTGGGCCCAGGTGAATCGGCACTGGTGCAGGTCTTGGTGGTAGTAGCAAATATTAAATGAGAACTTTGAAGGCCGAAGTAGGAGCGGGTTTCATGGGAGCGACCGCCGCAGCCTGTAGCTGCTGCCTCCCGATAGTGCCCTGGGCCGCCAGTGCCCAAGTGCAGTCTCGTCTGTCGGGTCCGAATGGCCACGCTCCCGCTCAAATCTCTCTCACGACAAATCGTTGGTGGCAGCGCTCCTGCAGAAGTGCCCAGGCCACTCAGTTTTCTTCCGCCTCGTGGGCTAATCACCACTGGCTTGCATGCACGTTGAGCTCCTTGGTCCATATTTCAAGAAGGGCGGGATAGAGAAATTCCACCGGCATCCCGAACGCGCAGGAACCCGAACTCAGGTTCGTTTCCCAGCAGTTCAACGGTGTACCAACTGAACCGGACCCGTCGGTCTCCCTGCGGGTCTCGGAACCAATAAAAAAAAATGAAAAATTTAATACGGAACACAGAAAAAGGCAAAAGAAACCGGGGCCGCTGCGTTGCCTACCTTCGACGCCGTACATTCTTAAGCCTCGGAGGGCCACACCTTGTCGTTGGCTCTCCACGCCCGCCAAGCTCCCGCACCTACCACGCGGAGGCTTGACTCGCGTTCTATTCTCTCACACACTCCGTTTGCAACACTGACGTCGCGCCGTTGTCGAAACGGATCTCTACGCACGCGCGCATGTCTCAATCGAACGTACCAATCAAAAGAACTATATGATTTAATCACAACTTTTAAGTACTAATAAAACCAGTCGACTGGCATCCACACCGGCTTCACAATCATCAACAGAGAAAAAGAGATCACGAGCTCCTTAAATCCGCCCGCCCACACACTGTTTACTCTAGTCAACCATCCAGTCAACATAAACCACAGACGCAGTCGCGCCTCGCGAGGTATGTTTTAAACCTTAAACTAAACCTGTTTTCTGTTGCTTGCAAAAACCAGGGCGGATACCCTTGTAAGGGTATTCGCACCGACAACGGTTCTCTGGGTGGTTTCCAAGGTTGGATTGTGACCACCGATCCCTTGCACTTCAAGGAACCCAATGAGACTAGGAATTGGGCATAGCTCGGATCCACGCATAAAACCATGACAGTAAATTTACCCCGTTTGTGATATGACACGTCAGACTCTGTTCCTTGGACACTTTCCAATTCCATCAGACAGTCCATGACCCATCCTCTTTTCTCATTTAGAGGTAAATCCCTGTTCTTGTTGGTGAAGTTGAATAGGACCGCGTGTTTCTCATACAGGTCGTTCAACGATTGCAATTGCTGCTTGGGATATTCCCACACTTCCACTTCTACCTGTTCTCCAGTTGTGTTTTTGATCGTTGCCTCCGTTCTTATGATTTCGTCTTTTATTCCCGTTTTTCTCATCAAGAACTCGATTGCCCTTTGTCCTAGAGCCTTGCTTGCTGTTCTTGGCTTCTGCGTCCCATCGGAAGAGGTCTGCGTGGGCGATCTCGAATTCTGGGATGCTGTTGGATTCGGAGGTGGTCCCGACTGTGCCTTGTCCTGTTCGTTGAGAGCTCTTCAGGCTGCTTGTAAGTACGAATCTGCCGTGGCGGGTGCTGGAAAGTGGACTACACCGTGTACCACTTCGTTGTGGCAATGGCGGTGCACGGAAGTGTCGCACTGAAGGTTTGGTGGATGCAGCTTGCTTCTTGGAAAGCGCAGCAACTCCGATGTCGCAAGTCCTTGCTCTGGTCGTAGGTGGGGCGGAGAACCCGGTGTTACGATTGACTAGTGTAACCCAGAGAGGGCAAAGGAGTCTTGGTGGTGGGTGAAGTGTGGTGTGTTCCGGTTGGGATGGGCTACGGGCCCGATTGGTTGGGGTAGTGCTTGACGAACGGGCTTGGTCTGATGTGTGCTTGGTATCTGGTCGGGTGATGAATGAAGTCCGGTTGGACCCCGATGTAAGGGTGATGGAGGGGCTGTCAAGTGAGGCAAATCTTCCCTAGGGATGTGTCCAAGCTAGTCTTCTCGACTTGCATTAGTGGTTCTGGCCTTTCTGTGGAAGGAGGAGCGTGGTGGAATGTTCCCGCCCCTGTGTCGCTATACCATCTTCCTTTCCCTGTGTTATCTGTATCGTTATTCCCAGCAAGAAGCGAAGTGAGAAGAGATTGCTAATCCCGGCCTTCGTGGTCGATTGTGTGAGAAGATTTTGCGTAAAAGTGTCTAGAGGATCTGGTTCTAGGTGCGCTGCATAATACGCCCTTTCTCGTCCTCATTCGTTACTTCCTCTTTCAAACAGACTGGGAACCTGTCCTGATTGGTCGGAAAGTCGAGTGCGGAGCCTTGAGTCGAAATAATGGACCGTACTATTCCCCTCTTGGTTGCTAGTCGGTTGCTTTTGAATCTCTACCTATTCCTAGTGTGTGTGCTTTGTCAAGCCCTGCTATCGTATGTGTAGTTTCCTGTTTCGGTGTTCACTTTTTATTGAGGCGAATGGTCTTTGCTCTTGCTCCGTTGCATTTGTCCTATGTGTTCTTCCGCCGGTTGCCCTTTCTCCCCTTTTCCCTCGTCCTCCCCCCTGCCTGCCAGATGCCGCGATCTGCCGCGCCTCTTTCTTCCCCCGTTGCTCGATGTTCCTTGGCGTTGGCGCGTGGCTCATATGTGGATGCAACCCGCCCCGACGCAGGGCTAGGGCGTTGTCGGTGAGGGAGCGCTTACCGGACCGGCACTCGGCGCTTCGCCTCTGAGGTCCCATCTTAGTTCTGGTCCTGACCAGATCTCCCAAAGAGGATTGGATTTAATTCCTGAATCTGGATGTTTTTTTTGTGCAGAGATGCAGAAAAGCAGACCAACAAGAAGTTTCTGCATCTTTCTACAAACAAGTCCAGAATCTAGATTCAGGAATTAAATCCAATCCTCTTTGCTAATGGGACCACGCCCCTGGTGAGGTTGTCCTCAATTACAGGCACCCTTTTTGAGGCACTGGCAATTAAACCACCAGTACTCGGATTAGCTATCGGTCGCGGAAAAAAATAGAGTAGAAATGTTTCTAGTCAGATGAATTTGGGCGCTCCTGCAGTGGCCCGTATGTTTCCTAAAATTGTGGCTTGTTAATGGGCACAACTTTAGGAAGTACTGGTGGTTTAATCCCTTGGTGAGGGAGTGCTCCCCTCCCCCCCTCCTCCCCCCCCCCCAACCCAAAATGCCAAGGTCCCATCTATTCTGGCATGCGCTGTGCGTTCATTGAAAGTCACCGGTACGAGGTTTGCTACGAGGATGAGGCAGGAATTCTGGAATCCACAAGACTGTTGGCGAAGGAGCTTGATTTCAGTAGCTTGGGTCGATGGAAGAAGCGATGAAAGAAGGAAGGGTGCTTTGGTAAAGCATATGCTCTCCCAAAGCACAAAGATACGGTCGGCCGATCTGCCCCACTTGTTGTGAACTGAGTACCCAGATGTGGAGGAAAGAAGCGCAAGGGTTGGACGCCATGTTGGTCAGCCTTCCTGCGAGTGGACACTTCAATCTGAGGGCAGTTAGTGAGATGAAAGGCAAGTTGGAATCAATCAAGCGAAAGATGCAGAGTGTGTCAGCATACGAGAGTGTTAGCTGCCTCCTTCGACATCAAAGACATGTTTAGTAAGTTACCTCGTGGGACGATTAGGAGGGAAGTCGAATGGTGCATTTGGTGGCACGAATTGCAGGGTTTTGAGGGAGTATTTGTCAAGAAGAGAGGGAGAGGGGCAAATCTCGGCAAGTGTAGGACAATTGGTGGTTTTGTCTTCATTCGTTTTGAAGCCATCCATGATTTTTTTGTGTCCTTCGAGCTCGACCAGTGTTTCACAGTGGCAAGCGGGTACATTTGGCAGCCGAAGGAAGAGATCCCCCGGATGGGGTCATCGAGTCCGCCATTAGCCTGTTTGATGTGTGCAAAGGCAGAATGGAACTTTCTGCTAATGTTGGGAAATGAGAAGAAGTTTGCTGGGTTGAGATTTGTCGACGACTTGTCCGTTTTTGCAGCATACAGTGTACTGAAGCCTGGCTCAAGGGGGAAGCCGAGCGCCTCATTCAGAGGTTTGAAGGTTGCGATGATAAGGACTCGAGGGTTGCGATGATAAGGACTCGAGGGTTGCGATGATAAGGAGTCGACCTTGAAGCAGACAGAGATGGAGGAGGGAGAATGGGATTTTCTCGGATGTGTACTGAAAGTCAGAGTGGACTTCCCATCCCTAGGGAGCTGTTAGAAGCTCAAGAATGACAAGCAATTGTGGGAAGTGTCGGAACTGATCTTTCTAACATTCCACGATTTCAAATCCTGGACATGCAAGAAGGCGAAGCTGGATATGATAGTCAGCGCCGTGCACGCTGCCCAGGATTCGACAGAATTCGATGTGCAGTGCTGCGATGATTGATACTGTAATCTTGCTGAGAATGGAAATGCGGAATAGGGAGTACCCATACTACTTCTTCAACAGGGTCAATCAAAAGTTTGCCTGGGACAAAGAGAACCTCCTCTGGAAATTGTTGCCTGAATTGTTGATGTGGCTGTTGTGACTCGCGAGAGCGTACCTAAGGATAGGTGCATCAGTCGCCTGAAGACGTAGAACTGAGTATTAGATGATAGCGGCTAGTGTGTGAGTTCTCTCTACTGTGTGTGGCATGATTGGCATGAATGAGTGAGAATGCATACTAGATCAAACCATGGGTGTGGGCCCACATACGATGGAATGACGGGCACAACTCAGAAGCAGGCTTGAGAAGACAGAGATGCCAGCCTGCAGATGGACACGTTCCATTACATGCTACGTAAACTCCATGGCAGAGGTGTCAGAATCTGCAAGTTCCGAGCTTGTGGTTTCCTCATCGTCTATCCCTCCTTTCTTGCTTTCACGATAAATAAGACAGGTTTAGGCAATTGGACATGAGAGGAAAGGTAGATGTAAGGCAAGCTGGCAGTCAATCCTCCACACTGCTGGAGCAATCAATGCTGTTCAGGGGTCCTTTGGCCAGACGGAAGGAAGTGCGAGGGTGTTCATGTTGTAATTTTGACTTGCCAGTGGAATAGGAACCGGACTGATGCTCCCCAGAATGGATATGGAGACAGGGCCAAAGGACCTGTTTTTGGAAAGAGAAAAAAAAGAAGAGCATGGGTGTGTGTGGCTTTTTGTGTATCTCTTGTTTTCAGTCTGTGATTGGTTTGTTTTGACCCGCGACTCTTCCTGCTGCACGCTCGCTTTAGCGTGGTTGGACCACATAGATCGGCGGGTACCTGTGAATGTCCAGGACCCGATCCGGACCTTGAGACTGAAACAGTTGGCCAGTTACCGAATAAGACCCGAGAGCCTCGAACTTGGTACCGGTAGCTCTACGCCCTAGTTTCCTGTTGAGCGACAAGGTTTAGTCAGTCTAAGTACAAGGTTCGAATCAGTAGGAAAGTGGACATTGGAGAACTTTTGTAAGCACTAGTACCTCCGCCAGTGTTGGGAAAATAAGGAAAACTGGCAGTTTTCCCAAACTCCTGAAAAATCGGAGGCCGGGCCCGACGACGACGGCTACCATTGATAAATCTCATCGGCGGCCGTCATTTCGTTTCGGTCTTCCTAAAATGGTCGGAGGTCCACCCGAGGCCTGCTATTTTCCCACTCGGCAAAGGTACTAGTTGTTTAACATATGGAAGACTCGTAAATACACTGGCGACACCGGCCAAACTCCGTTTTCGTGCTCGAGAGAGCGCGATGGAGAGTGATTAGCGCATGCATGGCTCGGTGAAAAGATTGGTGAGACAAGGGGGACCCAGTGGGAATTGGGCTATCAAGTGTTGATGATGCACAAAAATGTTCTCTTGTTTGAAGCTCTTCTGGGCGATGGGCGAGATATATTTGTTAATAAGATACACTTGTGGTCGGGTTGTCCAAGTGCTTGATGTGTCTGCGTGTATGCGTTGCCATATCACGTCTTATCCGAATGCTATCAGCAGTCCGGTTGCTTATCACCGGCAAACATAGAAGATAGTTCAAAGGAGAGACGATTCGGAAAACACCTCGGCATCCCATCCCTGTGGCTTTAGCCTCCGTACAGGGGGAACTAAAGGGGCCAGCCGGGCGGTGCACGCCTGCGCACCCTGGAGCGCCCATAGTGGCCGGGAAACCTGCACTCCGTACCCAGACGTACAGTATGGGAGCCCCAGGGGGGCAGGTTTGGGCAGCTGGGTTACCTCTCCAGTCCCGGGGCATCCACCATTGCTCCCGTAGTCATCTATTGATCGAACTGGCTGCAACTCTCCGTCTATCCCCTAGATGTGATACCTGCCTTTACAACAATTGACAGCAAAATACCTTTCAAGTTTCTAGTACGTACTAAGTTCGTAGGCCTTTCGGCTAAGATCAAGTGTAGTATCTGTTCTGCTGAGTTTAATATATGATCTGTGATCCAWAAAAAAAAAAAAAAAAAAAAAAAAAAAAAGGCAGCAGTGCCCAGCACATTWTTCCCAATTTCGTTKTKCCYCTMCYCCYCYCTMCTTYTTCYCCCCCCCCCCCCCCCAAAAAAAAAAAAAAAAACTTTAGTTCTCTGGATTTATTTAATTTATTATTTTAATCCCGCGTGCTTTTGTCGGTTTCTCTGCCTGTCATCTGCCATTCTGCAGGCTTGGAGGCTGCATGTCCTAAAGAGACTTTTCCAGGAGTCTCAGGCAAAGACTCGAGCAAAGCGGATTTTGCTCCACAGTTTGCGGCAGAGTTTCAGGGCTTGGCGGCAGCTGGTGCAGGACTCTGTGTCCTTGAGAAGAAAGGAGATAGAGAAACAATTGCACCTGCGGGAAGTAAGGGCTAAAGCAGACCGCCTGTATGTATGACCGACCTTCCCATTTTCATTTATTCATCTTCGGTCCAAACATCGTACACCGACGGGGCTAGCTCAGTTGGTACACCCACGAACTATTGAAATAGAGATCAGACTTCGAGTCCAGAAACAATAGATGACCAGAAAATAATTCTGAATCACATGGGGCCAGTCAGTTCAATGATCATATCTCAAGGCCCTCACCCTTTCAACAACCACAACGAAAAAAAAAAAGAAGCATCGTACTGCAACCCCATAATCCTGGGGCTGGTTCACAGGTGAAGACAGTAGTTTTTTAAGATGGTCTTCTTTGATACCCCATCTTAAACCACCAGTACCTCGCCTGGCCAAAAATTTCCGACGTGGCCGTTAACGCGCCGCATCGGACGGGGGTCGGGGAGTGGCCGGCCAGTAGGATAGTGAAATAAGAAAAAGAAAAAAAAACGAAAAAAAGGAAAAAAAGCAATCATTTTCAGAAATGTAAGATCGAATGAAAAGCAACCGGAGAAAACGGGCACGGCAGGGCGGGGGCTGAAAGAAAGAGAAAAAAAACACAGTCACACACACACACACACACACACACACACACTGTTGCATACTGTAACGGTGCAGACCAGAACAAGAACCGACCTCTCAAGACAAAGTACAAGATAGCGTAGCGGAAGACTTAGATACCGATGATCCGAACAATCAATATTGCAATGTAGCCCCGAACATACATCATCATCACCGCTCTGGTGTGAAAGGGGTCTGGCGCTTCACACAGGAAGACTGCGCCAGCCCCAACCATACACAGACGAAGAAGAAGGGGGTTAGACGAAGAGGAGGGGAAGATGGGAATGTCGTCAACGCCAAGTCTTCGGCACAGGCCCAAATAGCCCCTCGTCAAAATGTCTGAATCCCAAATGTCGAGTCTGGATCCAATGTCGTCAAGTCTCAAGTCACAACTTTCTCTCTCTCTGTCGTAGTCTGCTGATCGTGAGAAGTCAGGTGGTGAGAGGGTGAGAAGAGATGGTGGACTTAGAAGAGGAAGAAGAAGAACTCTCTCTCTCTCTGTCAAGTTGGCGCCTTGATGCAGGTACCTCGAAGATGGAGCTGGAGCTAAGGCGCCACAGGTAAGTACCGCTGGCCTCCGCCAGCCATCTCTCTCCAACGCTACCACTACCAGCTACTAGCGCCCTGCACTGAAGACTACTACTACAGCTATGAGCGCCCAGCGCTGAAGACTACTGCTAGCGCTAACTACTACTGCCAGCACTCCTCCTGAGTGCCGCGGCTGAATCCTGAAGACTACTCGTGCCTACTGTCCAACTACCTACCCGTGAAGTGCATGGGAACTTCCTATGTACTACTCGGGTACCTCCTGGCTGCAGGCGAGGCAGTCCAGGAGGCTGCTCTTGCCAATGCCGAAGGCAGTCAGGGGCTGCCGCTGCAGCTCCTGCTCAAGGCTGTCGTGGGGAACAGGCCAGAAATAGCCTGTTCCCAAAACCCTGGTTTTGTGCCTGAGCCTTAGGGTAGGTCGATCTTACGAGGGCCCGAAAGTGGCCCTCCGTTTCAGGCTGAAAAGCCCTGTTAAAACGAAATAGGGCCTGCAGGCCCTCGTTTTCAGTTTCAGGCTGAAATGACATGGGGCCTGTAAGCCCTATTTTCTAGGCTTTTAGGCTGAGAATGCGGGACGGGCCCTGCAGGCCCGTGTGGCTACGCAGTATGCCACACACACACACACACACACACACACACA